AGGAAAAATATGCAATATGAAAATAATTGAAGACAAAATGTGTTTTACTGAGAAAAAACAAGATTTGGTTTTTAAAAAGCCTTTTTCCAAAAGGTACATCTGGAAAAAGGGGGGTCGTCTTATAATCAGGGTCGTCTTATATTCGGGCCAATACGGTACTTAATAAATACTAAAAATATACACTAAAATAGTTCTTATAAAATTAAATAAATATTAAAACAGCTTGCCATATATTGAAACTCTGCGTTCTGTTCCATTCCTCTGCATCTAGCTGTTTATGAATGCAGGAACACGTTGTGTGTGAACAGCACCTCTGTGTGTGACATGATAATGCCATGGCCATTATCTTCGCAATACACCTCACATAATACGCCTACAGGAAATATGCCCGTCATTATGTTCAGCCATTGTAACAGATAATCAGAACAAAATTAGATGTCAGTTGCTTCCTCCTGCTTGTGAGTGAATAAGCAGAGTTACCTTGCTGAACTAACAATGCTTTCCCCCCTATTGTTAGACCACTGTATTCTTATAGTCATACTATCTTATCTAGTTACTCTTATCTATTTGAAAAATACATTTCCATTATTCACAGCATTAGGATCCAATGCACTGTTCTCATTTATCAATATGAATAAATATCAAATATGTCATTATTATATTAATATTTATATCACATGTACAGTAAACCGTACTTGACAGATGAGTGCAGATAGAGACAAGTAATAATGCTGACGCATTTGAGTAGAAAGATGGTTAATGGTAAGTCAGCTTGTTCTTTAGATTAAAGACGTTTAGCTTAAAGGTCTTTATGCTGATTATTATTACAACATTATTTAAATAAGTAGAAATCAGAGGTGATTTAGCAATGATCTTTTGTTGATAGATATTATTACAAAACATTAATGAAATAGGTAAACAAAAATGCACAAAAAAGGTTTATAAATAGTAGAAATGGGTCATAAAAACTCTCTGTTCGGTTGAGTATGTGATTAGAAAGGTTTGTAATGATGAGTCAGTGATGATCTAATGATTTTTAGACAGACTTATTTGCTGTAATTGATTGCACTAGGTGGGTTATACAATAAATGAGATTTATTCTTTCATAAAAAGTAGCAGACGGTATTAATGTGTGTAATAATTATATTATATTATATTATATTGTATTATATTATATTTTATATTTTTTTTACAGAAGAAAGAAAGTCATAAAGGTTTGGAACAATTATGAGGTTTAATATTTATTATTAATAAATCGGTTGTTCCAAACCAAGATTACATACATACATACATACATGCATAAATAAATAAACAAACATATTATTATCATTATTCTGTGGAGCATAATAATAATAATAATAATAATAAAATATTTTTTATTTGATTATTATTATTTAACAGGTTGTTCCAAACCTGTATGACTTTATTTTTTCTGTGGAACATAATAGTAATAATTATTTTATTTTATTTTTATTTTATTTTATTGGAGAAAAAAAATCAAGTTTGGAACCACAGCTATTATTATTATTATTATTATTATTATTAATTAATTAATTTGTTATGGTTTTTATTATTAATGAATTGGTTGTTCCAAACCAAGATTACATACATACATAAATAAATAAACAAACAAACATATTATTATTATTATTATTATTATTATTATTATTCTGTGGAGCATAATAATAATAATAATAATAATTATTATTATTATTATTGAACACGTTGTTCTAAACCTGTATTACTTTCTTTCTTTATTCTGTGGAACCCAAAAGAAGTTCAATATTTAGATTTTTTTTTTGTCCTTAAACAAAAGGTTATTTTAGACACCCTGAGCTGCTGATGCCAGTAAGTATTGGTCAGAGCATCATCAGAAATTGATTTCACCAGCCTTACAAATGACATGTCATCTCCGAAATGGTCTCAACTCGTACATCTCTGCAGGCCGTTTGTGCCCCGGGTAAATATTTGCACTGGCGTAGTTTTCTGCAAGCAAAATCAAAGCCTGGTGTCTCTCAAACAGGCTCTGTGTTGCAGGGTGGAGTCCCGACAGCCACCAACTTGTGGTCACCAAGGCATGATTTCCTACGACTGATTTGGACTCTAAAACTCTTTATTTGGCCTTATTTCTAGAAGGCCATAATTTCTCTAAAGAACACAAGCAACATCTAATCTAGACTTTTCTCCTCAGCGTAACATGAAGAGGAACGGCAGTCGAGGCTGCGTGACGCGGAAGACGCGCTTCGGCTCTCGAGAGCGGGACTGGCTGAAGGGCGACGCTCAGCGAGGCTGTGTGTGTCTCTACGGGGCCTCGGAGCCTCAGCCTCCAGCGTCGGGCCCCCAGACCTCCACCAGCGCCCAGCCGGACCTGAAGCTGGTGCTCTGCTCCACCAACACCACCGCCGAGGAGCTGTGTGCTCAGAGAGACGTGCAGGGCCTCTACCTGCAGCTGCACGGAGACTTAATCAGGTAACGCAGACGCAGAGATAGATGCTCGGTTACCCAGCTGTAATTTTCTGACTAGACGAGGTCTTGTCTCGATAATAATCTTTATCAGACTCGCGCTGTGGAGCAGTCGGGCCAGACACACACACACGCACACACACACACACACACGCGCACACACAGGTCAGGGTGTTTATCTGAAATGACAAGGTGAATATCAGACCCTTATTGTTTACAAATGACTGGTTACGTGAATTGTAGGGTTAGTCCTTCATTTGCACCTCTTGATATTTTACATGTTAATGATCCTTCAGGATATCATCATCATAAACATGTTCATCTTATCTCAGAGTTTGACAGTAAGGATAGCCTGATGCGAGAGAGCTTACCCTTGTAAAAAAGAAGTGCACTTAATTGTATTGAACGTGCATTTGCAGTGTACTTCAAATCAAAGTATATTTTTAACAAACCGCATTTGCAGGTAATATAATATTTATGACATAAAAGGCCACTTGAGTGTACTTAAACACACTTTAATGACTTAAGCGTTTGTTAACACGCTTAAGTTCACTTTTAAAAAGTGCACTTTGTAATAATGTCAAATTAAAAGTCATACATAACATACTAAAGCACATGTAAAGTATGTAAAATTTTACATGTAAAATTTTAACTATAGTGTGTTGTTCAGTATTATATTTAAAGTTAATATATTTTCAATAAAAATTTCAATTTGAAATGACATTAAAGTATATTTATTTTACCATAAATGATTATCAGTACATTCAGAAGTACACTATAACCAAAATAAGTAATTAAGAAAAATGTGGGTTAAAAACACTATCATTGACTCATTGCATTTAATATAAATATGAACTACAATAGTTAAATTTCATTTAATTGCAATTATTATGCAATGAAGTGTCCAAAGCATTTAATTAAAGGGGTCATATGATGCTTTTTTAAAGATCATTATTTTGTGTATTACAAGGTTATGTTCATTGTTCAGAAATATACCATGCAAACGTAAACTCTTGGTTTTCTGTGATGATGTGAATGTTGTTGTTGTGGATCGATCTTGATCTTGTTGGCTAACACGGATGAGATTTGTCAAAATTGTGAGAATGATTTGTTGTATTGGAAGCTTTGGTTACAAAATTAAAATTAGAATGAAAAAATGATAAACAAATCACCATATGCCATTGTTTTCCGGCTCAAGTGTGTTTGAGAATTTATAGCTGTCACGGAGTTACAATAGAGCTGCTTAATTTCAACCTAAAAACCTTTCGTTGTAGCTTCGTTTTGTAAAGACAGTTTATTAAAATATAGTTTATGTATACATTCCATTTAAAGCAGCACTATGTAACTTTTTCTGTGTTCAAAATTTGCAAAATTTATATAATGAGCGAGTACATCATGAATTCATCTTCCAAACCGCGTTTTTGTCTTATTCCGAATCACTCCGGTACACTTATAATAAGTACTTATATTTGGACTATTGTAGCCTGGTCGGGTCGTCACCGCTGCGGAGTAACACATACCTGCGTGAATCGCCAGAGACATAAACTTAGAGAAGTAGCTCGGGTTGGAATGTTCTTCCGCGGGATGTGTGCAGTTCTGTTTATTAACCGCTAGAGCGCCGAAAGTTACATAGTGCTGCTTTAACGCAACCATATGTTGGTGTAAAAAAAAAGTTTTAAAAACAAATTCTAATGAGGCAAGTGAAAATATCGACAGGACAAGTTTTTTTTTTTAACTCTGGGTTTGCTGTACATTTTTGTAAAAGGGCTGCACAGTTTTTCTAAATTAAAGTTTTTGAATTACATATCAATATGTGATTATTTTTAAGTCTAATTATTTGTAGACTCAGATAAAAAAAAAAAAAAATGATTTCACTGTAAATGTTTTTTTTTAACCAAGCATTTAAAAATATTTAATTTTTACAGTACAACTGTAATACTGTCTTAATTTCTTCATTTTTGAATGTTAAACAAATGTTGACAGAATTGTCATTTTTGAGTGACCTATCCCTTTAAAATCCTGATTTCCAAAAAAAAAAAAACACATTTTGAAAACAGTATGAACATTAGTAATAGTGTCTTAGCAACCGCTAACGATAAGTGCACAAGAGCAAAACACCAGAATATGCAGGCGTTTGCAACACTCCCTGTGCTCTCGAGGCGGGTTTGTGCTTTCCTCTGTGTGTCTAGTGTCTGCAGTGTCTGTGGTGGTTTTAAAGGTGTGCCTGACAAAAGAGAGAGAAGCAAGTCATGCTTTCCCCTCTCTCTGCCCTTCTGGGAATGACTGGGCTGCGGCTGAGATGGCTGAAATCACATTATTTCGCAGGAAGCAGTCCAGCTCTGAGCCGAGGTTTCGCTGTGAGGAGGCTGCTCATTAGAGCAGCTCACAGGGACATCTGCTGATGTTTGTGTGCTTTCTATCCTCGTCTACTATTTATTTCACTTCAGGTAAGCAGCAAGAAACCATTAAATCCCTAAAGTGTCCTTGTCAGTTGCACTCTGCCTCTCAAAGCAAAGAGCAAAGC